TTTTCTATTATATCTTTATTTTATTACTCTTTATTGTACTTTCTGCACTACATTTCCTCTTTGCTGCTGTGTCAAACTGGAATTTCTCCCACGGGGGACCAATAAAAGAACATCTTATCTTCTCTTATCTTATCTTAAGTATGCAGTTACTGTGCTTTAGTACAATTGCGAGGTACTTTAGTAGCTTATTTAAATTTGTCTGCTACTTTATAGAGTACATTAGTACTTGAGAGGGAATACTGGTGCTTTTTACTCTTTCTAGATTTATTTAACAACTATAATTTACATCCAAGCTTATACACAAAACATATGATCAGACACAGTAATGCATTATTATACATAGAAGAAGAATAATCTTAATATATAATAAAGATATGATATTACACACATGGGGACATTCTGCTTTGTATTGTTGTATTTATTGTTTATTTTCGGTAGTATATATACATATAATATATATAACTATTTAAAAGAAAGTTAGCTTATTAAATAAAGTTTTGAGAACCACTGCACTATCTTTCCATTAATGAGTTGTGTTTCCTTTAACACATTCCTGTGGACCCTTTAAACGTCATGGTGGGGGGAGGAAGAGGCGGTGCTGCGTTCACTTGCCCCCTCCCCCCAAACCACGAGGCTCCAGTGTTGACAGGCCGATCACCGCCCACATTCAATCCGGCTCTCTCTGCCTCTCCGCCGGGGACAAAAGCAGCTCGCTCACCCTGGCTCTTCTGTAACAAAAAAAAAAAACACAGCTTAAAAAAAAAAAGAAGCGAGAGAAAGACAGACAACTACACCCTCCATTTTTATCTTTATTCTTAAAAAAGCTTCTTTTTTTTTTCCACTGTGGTTCACAAAGGATTAGCAGCGGCCGTGCAGGGAATTCCTCCGCCCTCCGGTCCTTATTAAGCGGGGAGCTAACCGGCGGACCCCGCCTCCCTCTTCATTTGTCAACAAAGGGGTTTGACAAGCTCACAGGAGCTCCGCCTCCGTGTTTCCTTAAAAGGATGATTTGGCCATACACGGCCAACAATCAAAACCCGTGGGTAACCTTTTCCCTTCCCTATCCCGTTCATATGGTGCGTTGACTTCCTCCGTCGCCGTTAAAGCGGAGCTATCATGGCGGAGCGCGTACAGCAGCCCCCGGCCAAGCGGCTCTGCTGTCGGCCGGGATACAACTCGACGTGTAGGCAAGGCCAGCGGGCCGCGGGGGCGCCGTGCGGCGGCTCCATGTCCACGCAGGGCGAATCGAGCAAGACCCAGAACCCGGAGACTCTCCTGGACATCGCGGCGAGGAAAGTCGCGGAGAAGTGGCCGTTTCAGAGGGTCGAGGAGCGGTTCGAGCGGATCCCGGAGCCCGTTCAGAGGCGGATCGTTTACTGGTCGTTCCCGAGGAGCGAGCGGGAGATCTGCATGTATTCGTCGTTTAACACCGGCGGGGAGGAGGTCGGAAGCGGCGGCGGTGGAGGCGGAGGAGGCGGCGGGGAGAGCGGCGACGAGACCCGGCTGCCGTTCCGACGGGGCATCGCTCTGCTGGAGAGCGGCTGCGTGGACAACGTACTGCAAGTCGGTGAGTTGATGTGACGGGACGTCGAGGAAACACACGAAAAACTATAAACTAAAAGCTGTTAGTGGAGGATTTTTTATCTTTTTTTAACCCGAATAAGTCGAGTTTTGTGTGCGGATAAAGTGACAGACAACAAAGGGTCGGAGAGGCTACAATGGGGGCTTTTAAATCTGCTGGGGTGCATGAATGGGAATGTGTGACTGGGGCATTTAAATCCTGTTTTGCTTGGGGGCAGTTTGAATGTGAAATGTAGGGGTACAAAGCCTCAAAAAAATCCCTCTTAATTGCGTAAAAAAAAAAAAGAAATATCAAGCTGTGGCTTTAACAAAGAGGAATCCCCAAATTTCCACATCTCAACTACAACCAGACCTCATTGAGAAACTTCCACAGGATAAAGATGACTGTGTACTTACTGCTGAATTAGGTTAAAGTGACATTTAAAAGATGGGTTTTAAAGATACTTTGAGGCAGAAAGCACCTTTAAAAAAGAGCTTTATATGTCTTTAATCCCCATAATATAGAGAATTAATAAGCCGACATGAGTTAGAAAAGCATTTAGAGGCATCAAAGCTCATTTTTTTTATATTTAATTTCACAATTTTTTACTAGATTTGTCACGTTAGGTAGTTTTTGCCACACACACACACAAAAAACACACACAGCCTGGCCTTTTAAAATGACTTTTTAAACGATTACATAAAACTATTGAGTAATAAGGGAAGTGCTCAGTGTTGGGTTGGGTCTCAACTGACACACATTACATTTGAATGAGTTGTTCTGTGTGGCACAGAGATGGTGTGTGTGTGTTTGTGTGTGTGTACATTGTGTGTCTTTTGATCAGCAGACAGGGAGAAGTTGATGAATGTGGAGTTGGAAAGCAGTCAAATATGCAGCCTGACATTGTTGTTGCTGCACATTAAGAGTCGTGGTATGTTGTTTTAGGGCAGAATAACCATTACAGAAGTTAAGTGCGCTCTCTTTTCCATGTGTCAAAGAGAAAAAAAACGAGAATAGACTCATCGTGAGTTACCGTATGACTGCTTGTTTATAACCCGCTGAAAGGCGATGTGAAACAGGAACAGACACATGTGTGCTGAGCTGACAGCTGTGCTTGTGCATGACAACTTTTTCTCCACCTAACATTGGATTTTTGTGTCATTTGGTTGCAATTTTCCCCCTGCTATTGGCTTGGCATGGCTCCTCTTTTGAGATTTTAATTACCCAGCACACATATCAAATACCCAGCATTCCCCCACTGTGAGTTTGTCACTTTGTTCCTATTTTCATGTTCATTTGTGTCTTTTCAAGCTTCCCCGTCACCTCCGAAAAGGAAAGGGGCAAACAAAAGCATCTTTTCACTCCCCTTGTTAAGTAGAAGAGATTTTTGGGAAGGAGGAAGCGTATTGAGCACGATCCACACACACACACACACACCAGTCCGAAGCCAATTGGTTCAGGTTCACGTCTTTGTTTGTGTGTGTGTCTGTAATCGGAAAAAAAAGGCGATGGCGAGCTCTCTCCAGGCCGTGAGGGAAGCAGACGCGGTGTGTTTGGAGCTGAAGAGATAGCTCGCTTTAATGAAGACTTTTAGTTTACCAGCCTTTATCATGACACGGTCGGGGCCCCGGAGCCTCTGATTGTGTTGCAGCGTCTGTCACCTGTGAGTTCACCATGGGCAGGCTCGGGACACCTTCTCAGGGAGCGCTGTAATCCCATTACTCTGCATGGTTAATTTGAATTGTAATGCAATCTGAACACTTGAGTTTCTGCATGACCCGCCCCTCTTCTCTCCCCCCCACCACTACCACCTCCTACTTTTAAATGCAGGAGGTTCATGTGGGCTATTGTGAAGGTCCACAGGGAATACACACACTCACAACACACCAGCCTCTGTCCTGCCAAGATGAGAAGCCTATATATTCCCAGATATTGGGAAATGTTTCTGCAGGGAGGAAACAGAATCTGGGGCTGTTATGCCAGAGAGGGGGGGCTCGATCTGCATGCTTACAAAGAGGAATAACAGTAGTGCTCACACACACACACAGACACACACAGGGAGGGTTTCTTTCTTGGCTGATTGCACCCCAGCCTGGAATTTGCTGGAAAAATAGAGCCAAGAAGTGATAAATAAAAGATGTAATCTCCCCATGTGTGGGCCGTACCAGAGGAGGGAGGTTTTCTCGCAGCAGACCTTGAGGAAATGAATTGGCACACATTGGCTGTGGACCCTCGTCCTCCACAACAAACCCTCACTGTTAATCAGCGCACAGATAAAGGAAGCCATTTTTATCTCCACCAGAGCAAATATATCGCAGCATCTCCGGTTTAGACTTGAGGGCTACTTTATCCCTCCCCCCACTCCTCCCCAAGTTGTTGCCAATATTATAGTTGTTGGTGATGATATTGAGCTGTAAGGTGGACTATACCAATGCAGAGGAAATAACAATAAGGGTGCTGCTGCTCCAAGTACAGTCTACGCCGCAGGCAGTTCAACACCAAAACAATAATAAGTGTCTACAGCTGAAATTATTTGTCGATAAGTCGACTATTTTGAAGAAATTAACCGTTCTAGATGTTTTTGAAGCAAGAATGCCAATATTTGATGGTTCCAGCTTCCAGATATGAGAATATCCTACTTTTTCCCTGTCTTACATTATAGTAAATTGAATATTTTGGGGGTTCAGACTGTCGGCCGATCAAAAAAAGGCTATTTTTAAGACTTTATCTTGGGCTTAAGGAAATTTAATAGACATTTAACACACTTTTCTGGTGTTTTATGAACCAAACAACATGTTGAGAAGATAATCATTACTCCGATTAATCGATAACATGGATCAACTCAAAAATCAAACATTAAAGGTGCTAATTCAGGCTTTGCAGTTCAGTCGTCGCTGCAGTGCCGATACAGTAATTATTCCTTTATAACTGGTCATTAATTGTTGATGTGCTTGCCATCAGCAATTTAATTGCCTTAAACATTTCACTGAGTTTCTAATTGAAAGTAGGAAAGTAAAAGTCACGGCCACATTAACTCTAAAGACCTTTGACTAATTAATGCATAAAATTGAGATTAAAATCAGCTGTTTTTTAAAATGTAAATGCAATCAGTTTGTAAAAGCAGTGAAATATTTGAAATAATAAAGAAAACACGAGGCCCAGTGAGGATAAAAGTGTGATGTTTAATGTAAAGAGGGCAATTAACAATTAACACAAGCAATCCAAAGTCCAAAAAGTATTTTACAAGGTCCAAACCAAACTACATCCTCACTGAATAAAGCTCAGGCAGGCAGCCTCTTACTGAGCCCAGTTCAACACCCCCCATTATGGTTTTAAACTCACAGAGGAAGACAAGCTCCTCTGCTGTGAAGTCATTTTGCAGTGAGTTTCATGCACAGAAGCAGCCGACAACATGAAAGCCTTTTCGACTAATTCAGTTTGCACCCAGGGTCAGAAAGCAGAAATACATCCTGTGTGCAGAAACGGGAGCTCTCTATAGATTTCTAGATATATTACAGAAAAAAGAAAAGAAAAATCCAATAACAATGAAGCAGAAAGGGAAAAGATCTATCGGCCACTAAATCTGAGCATATTGTGTTTAGCTTAATACAATAATGAGAGTGTAATAATTAAGTTAACACCATCACCACTGTGTCTGAGGTATGAGGAGACGTCCGGTTTTGGTCACCACAAACATAACGTGACTTTTGCTCATGTAAATCCACCGTAGGCCGTAAAAAAAAAAAAACACACACATGTCAACCTCATGGTGGCGCTATAGGGAAAAGTCACAGGATCACAGAAGTCATTAGGGTTCATCCGCTGGAGAACATCAATGTCTGAACCAAATTTTAAGGCAATCCATGAACTGAGTCCCTGCCTACAACAACCTTCCAGTCCATATGCAACAACAGTACGTCAAATGAGATCAGAAGTTTATCTCAGGCCTTTACGGCGGCTTCGTCGCGGACGCTGAAGCTTTAAACATGACGTGGCCGCTGGAGCATACCGTCTCCGGTCACACACACACACACACACACACAGCAGTGGTCGGGGGGGTGTTGAGGTATAGGGTTGAGCTGAAGTATAGGCTTCAGTGACATGTTAAAGTATAGGCTGCAGTGTTTATGTGTGCTCTGAGCGTTGGTTATCTGCACTTGTCAAAAACAACCTCAAAATGGAGGGCGAAAAACAAAAAGAGAAAGATGTTAAGTGATGTACATTTAAGGAAATACATGGTTGCTATATATGGTGGGAAAACATATGCTGTAATATGTTTGTTACCTGCGTTAACAAGTTGTTAGGTCGCAGTTAAGCTGCTTGCACCTTACAGGAGGTCAAGATCACGCCTTTACACGCATTAGAGGCCTTTCTCTCTTCGTCGGATCTCTCCTTGACGTGCTTCCATCTGCTGTATTAGGTCAAAGGTCATTAAAACATCAATGTTGTTAATATGCAGTGTTTGTTGTTGGTGGGAAAATAAGAATACCTCCGTCCTCTTTCATCTTCTTACTCATCTGCTCACCTACTGTGATCTGAAACTAACATTTAGTTTCATTACTGATTCTTTTGCAGATTATTTTTGGTCTATAAAGCGAGAGAAAATAATGAAAAAAAGTCCCAAAAAACAATAAGTTGCCCATTAAATCAGCTTGTTTGACCAACCAACAGTCCAAAACTCAATAATATTCAATTTAAGCCATTGAACATTCACGTTTGAGAGACCGAAACCTGTATTTCTTTTGGCATTTTAGCTTTAAAAATAACAAACAGGAAGGAAGTTATTGTAGTTGTAGGTTCTTTAAATCTTTTAGTGTTAAATTCTTGTGATAAATCCTCTTAGAAATAATAAAAAATAGACGCTCCTCTTAACTCCAGAACTTGCCTGAGAATCATCAAGATTTTGAGTTTTCTTCAGTGTCAAAGTTATGCAGTGAAAGTTGTCTGCACATCCACAGGGGAGAGAGCAAACAGGAACTGCTGATGGCTAATTCGGCATACTAATT